GCAACATCTTTTCGCACTAATCAAAATCAGCACAAAGTTTGGACTAACACTCCATTCGTCTCACTATCACGAAACTTCAATAAAAGACACTTTTTCAAATATTGCATCGAACTTTTCATTAATATTACCATTTATGAATGTACAATTTTTTGCAAATCAGTACTAGGTATTCAAAGGCACTCCAGCAAGGGGCAATCGAGGAGGAATCTGACTTTCAGTGGCGTACACGAAGCAAGATTATCTCAAAGCCCACAGGCTGGGGCAAATCATTCAACAGCTCGAGCAGGGGCAAACCATTAACAAGTTCAGATTGGGGCAAGACCATGTCACCTTGATCAACAAGTAGAGTTGCAACCTTCTTTGAAACAAATTCACAACAAACCACCAAGTACCCAGACTCGGGGAATCCAGAGCATCATCTTCTGCTTCAATTGTGACGTCTTCCATGAACTGCATGTCGAGGAAGTCAATCCCTCCCACCACCCGAAGTCCAATCCACATTGGCAACTACTCAAAGTCCACCATGCTGGCGCTTACACCTGCATTTCCAAATTACCCGTCTGCACCATATACATCATACGCATTGCATTCAACCTCATAAGCATCTTACATCATATGCATACTCCAATCATACCATATTCCCCCAGCTCTTGCATCTCCGCGCTTCAACATTTGCATTTGCACTTCCACTCGTATGGAATATCATTTATCATCCAACATTCATATATGCAAGTCAAGGTCCAGGATCAATCCCGAAGATTTCCAAGACCATAGGCCACCCAATCAGGGCATCTTCCACAAAGATCGTGGATTTCTCCCACGAGTATCAAGAGCTTCAAAGCAATCATCAGCCCAGTCAGGGACAATCTTCTGCAATTGTGGGTCTCTCCCATCAAAATTCGAAGTTATTCAAAGCAAGATTCAGCCCAGGCAGGGGCATTTTTTTCAAAGACCATGGGCGTCTCTCATGACGTATTTCAACCTTGTGGTTGATCAGATCTTCAAATCAACATTCAGCCCAGTCAGGGGCATACCGTTCAAGACCGTGGGCATTCCCACTAAGTTGTTCAAACTTTTGTTGGGCAAATCTAAGAAGTTCAGTGCAAGATCCAACCCGAGCAGGGGCATCTTCAGCAAGACCATGAGCGTTCCTCATGAAGTTGTTCAACCTTTTATTGAGCAAAATAAGACATCAAGACAAACTCAGCCCAGTCAGGGGCATCCTCTTCAGAACTCATGGGCGTAACCATGAAATCATTTCAGCAAAACAATGATCTCCAAACAAGACGGTGGGCGTACCCCGTTGACTCATTTCAATTCAATCTTCCTCTTGGGTGTTCCCCAATGAGCTGTACCCGGCAAGCGTGATCATTGTCAATTGCCTTACTATCATCCTTTTGGTGATAGTCGAACTTTGTCAGTTCAGCCTAGCCTGCATCCTTTTGGTGTTGGTAAACTTCAAGTCTGTGTTGTCCTATCATACTTTTGGTGATAGCGACCTGTGTGTGAGTTTCGCTCCATCATCCTTTTGGTGGTGGGTCTGGCATTTCGTCGATGTCAGATTGTACGATGTTGTGTGTTGTGTTTCGCTCTGCCATCCTTTTGGTGGTGGGTCTGGCATTTCGTCGATGTCAGATTGTGCGATGTTTTGTTTGTATTTCGCTCCGTCATCCTTTTGGTGGTGGGTCTGGCATTTCGTCGATGTCAGATTGTGCGATATTTTGTTTGTGTTTGTCATATCATCCTTTTGGTGGTAGTGGCTGGTGTGAGTTTCGCTCCGTCATCCTTTTGGTGGGGGGTCTATCATGGTCATTAAAGATAGATTGTGCGATGTGTTTTGTGTCTCGCTCCGTCATCCTTTTGGTGGGGGGTCTATCATGGTCATTAACGATAGATTGTGCGATATTTTGTTTGTGTCTCGCTCCGTCATCCTTTTGGTGGGGGGTCTATCATGGTCATTAATGATAGATTGTGCGATGTGTTTTGTGTCTCGCTCCGTCATCCTTTTGGTGGGGGGTATATCATGGTCATTAATGATAGATTGTGCGATATTTTGTTTGTGTCTCGCTCCGTCATCCTTTTGGTGGGGGGTCTATCATGGTCATTAATGATAGATTGTGCGATGTGTTTTGTGTCTCGCTCCGTCATCCTTTTGGTGGGGGGTCTATCATGGTCATTAATGATAGATTGTGCGATGTGTTTGTGTGAGTTTCGCTCCGTCATCCTTTTGGTGGGGGGTCTATCATGGTCATTAATGATAGATTGTGCGATATGTTTGGTTTGTGTTTCGCTCCGTCATCCTTTTGATGGGGGGTCTATCATGGTCATTAATGATAGATTGTGCGATGTGTTCATTTGTGTTTCGCTCCGTCATCCTTTTGGTGGGGGGTCTATCATGGTCATTAATGATAGATTATGCGATAGCTTGTTTTTGTTTCGCTCCGTCATCCTTTTGGTGGGGGGTCTATCATGGTCATTAATGATAGATTGTGCGATATTTTGTTTGTGTCTCGCTCCGTCATCCTTTTGGTGGGGGGTCTATCATAGTCATTAATGATAGATTGTGTGATGTGTTTTGTGTCTCGCTCCGTCATCCTTTTGGTGGGGGGTCTATCATGGTCATTAATGATAGATTATGCGATATTTTGTTTGTGTCTCGCTCCGTCATCCTTTTGGTGGGGGGTCTATCATGGTCATTAATGATAGATTGTGCGATGTGTTTTGTGTCTCGCTCCGTCATCCTTTTAGTGGGGGGTCTATCATGGTCATTAATGATAGATTGTGCGATGTGTTTGTGTGAGTTTCGCTCCGTCATCCTTTTGGTGGGGGGTCTATCATGGTCATTAATGATAGATTGTGCGATATGTTTGGTTTGTGTTTCGCTCCGTCATCCTTTTGGTGGGGGGTCTATCATGGTCATTAATGATAGATTGTGCGATGTGTTCATTTGTGTTTCGCTCCGTCATCCTTTTGGTGGGGGGTCTATCATGGTCATTAATGATAGATTGTGCGATAGCTTGTTTTTGTTTCGCTCCGTCATCCTTTTGGTGGGGGGTCTGTCATGGTCATTAATGATAGATTATGCGATGTAGTTTGTTTATGTCTCGCTCCGTCATCCTTTTGGTGGGGGGTCTGTCATAGTCATTAATATCAGATTGTGCGGTTGTGTTTTGCTCTACCATCCTTTTAGTGGTAGTAGCTATGTGTGTTTCATCCCATCATCCTTTTGGTGATGACGACCTTTTTGCTTATTATTCACAGTCTACTCAGAGGTACCTCATCCATCATTTTCAATTCCCAGGATTTACTTTCCTTTTCGGACAAATTCAGGGTCTTCTTTATATCTGATTGTCTTCTACCTCGAAAGAATGAATGCCACGGCATTTCATCTTACTCGGTTTAAGTAAATTAGATAGGGGCATCTGTCATACCCCAAATTTGTCCTACCCTGTATATAACTTTCATTTTGTATGCTCGGCCCCTAGCCATGACTCAGGAAAAATACAAAAAATGTCGCTTTGACTTTTTATTTTATTTTATTTTATTTTTGCCCAAGTTCAGGTTCATTTGAGGCCATCAGGATAATAAGGTGAGGTGTTGGGGGAAGTTTATGTGACTTTGACCTGGGTAGTTGGTCAGAGAGGATTTGGTCTCTTGATTGAGACCAGGAAATGCTTTATTCAATTGGCGAGGTTTAGAACTTTCAGTCAAGGTTTTATGCTAATTCAGGGCATCGGGGTGGTCTAAGTTACCAGAATATGGCGTATTGTCAGGTGTCAAAGTGTATAACCATTTGGATCCAGTTGTTTCTAGAGACAAAGTTTTGTGCAAAGTAAAATTTGGAAAGTCTTAGTCAATACCTTTTGTTTGATGTCTCAAGTCCAAAGTTTTTTTGTGTAAAAAAAATTATTACAAAAATACATTGGATCAAAGATTTAGAACACATTCTCATTGGTTGTTCTCGCGAGAAGCCCATTCAAAGACTATTGTGGAGAAGGTTAAAACATAGTCGAAAGCCCATTTCATTTCAAAAGTTCAATAAAATGTGAACATATCCAAATAAATTACAAGCCAATGTTTTTTTTCTCAAACTACAAACAGAGCCCGTATCATACAAGTTTACAACTATTACATGATTAAACCAAGCCCATATTACAATTTACAAAAGAACAAACCAGGAAATGGTACAAAAGTGACAACAGCCCCGCGCTAATAACAAGTTGATGCAAAGGTCGCGATAACCGAGCCACAAGGCCACAGCCCTGTACTCCACAAATTAATCCATGTTACCTGCATAAAACTTCATAAGTCGCCTTTGTTGCTCGACCATAACCTGCATTAAATAACAAGACAATCATTTTGGCATTTGGTATGTGAAAAAGTTAGTCAAAAGAAAGTTCAATAAAGGCTATAACAACTATCGCATCACAGAACAGACGGTACACTGCTCTGTACCTGCATATTTTCAAAACAAGAAAATGGGGAATTATGTGAATGACAAAGCCAGCCTGCTATCACACCAATTCTCTATCAGCATGTTACCGCGTAACCGTTTTCTGAACCACTGAAATCCGCTTCTAACAAAATGACCCATTCACTTTCACACTCTCTCCACCTACCAAACCCCTCCCCTTTCATCCCCACACTCCTCCACCCAAACACACCCTCTGCAAAACTCTCTCCAACCCAACAACATTAACTACACTGCTACAGTTTCAGGTTCCTCTTGATCCCTTCAATTTTATTACTCTTACCTACCCTTCATTGCTTCCTTTTGTACTTCTTACCTGTCTCTAACAAGGGTCATGTCCCTTTCCTACCAACCTTTATCTGCATACCCTCTTTCACTTTCAAACTCACTGCTTCACCATGCAACTTGGGTCTCCGTTTTTCTTTTGTTTTACTATCTCTGAATCATAAAGTTCACATTTTTATCTTAAGGGGTTATTAAAAATTGAGTCTTTTCTATGAATGATTGGTGAAGTACTGTGATTTAGAAAATGGGTGCTACTAACTCAAGAGCTGAAAAGAATGAAGCTTTATGTATGTGTAAAGAAAGAAAACGGTTCATCAAGGTGGCTATTGATTCTAGATATGATTTAGCTGCTTCGCATGTTTCTTACATTCAATCTCTTAGAAATGTTGGTATAGCTTTAAAAAGATATGCTGAAGCTGAGGTGCTTGTAGAGTCTTCTTTATCGATTTCTGATAAAACGCCTTCTCAAACTAGTTACCCTTCTCCTTCATCGCCGTTGAATGTTGCTGAGGTTGAGGCTTCAGATTCACCTTTGCATAATGAAAGTCCTTTTTCAAAACCTCCTCCTTCTCTTAGTTAGATGAGATCAAGTGGTAGTGGTTCTGTTACTGTTACAATTGATGCTTTTGGTAACAAGTACTTGGATGATGAATCCAATGTTGGTTTCTTCTATGCCTCCACCTTCTCCTCCACCTAAGCTAGGTGCATCTTGGGATTTCTTTGATCCTGGTGAGGATAGTGAGAGCTTTAGGTTTTTTGTGAATGGTAGTGAGTTTAGAGATTGCAAGGATCAGTGGTTTCAACCTGGTTCAGATGATCGTTTGGTTGTTTCAAGGGGAGTTGAAGGTTGTGAACAATTGGTTGATGGAAATGTGAGACAGTTAGAGGTGGTAACAACACCAGGTAGCGCTGATGAAGACATAAATCTTGATGTGGCTGAAAAGGGTGGTGTTGGAAAATCATGTTCAAAGAAGGAGAAGAAGCAGATGGATGAGAACAATGTGTGCACAGAAAGAGAGGATCCTTCAGAGTTCATCACTCATAGAGCCAAAGATTTTCTCTCCAGCATAAAGGATATAGAGCATAGGTTCATTCGAGCTTCGGAATCTGGTAGAGATGTTTCAAGGCTGTTAGAGGCAAACAAAATCAAAGTTGGGTTTTCTGAGGCAAAAGGGAAGTCATCTACAATGGCTTTGATCACGTCCATCCAGCCCGTTTGTTGCCGCAGAAAGACATCACCTGTTTTCCAAGAACCTGTACAAAAAATCATAAGTTGGAAAAGGACAACATCTTTTCAATCATGCTCATCCAGGAACCCTTTGGCTTCAAGATCAAGGGAAGATATTGATGATAGTGGTAGTGATTTTGTTGAAGAATTCGGCATGATTGCTGGAAGTCATTCATCCACCCTTGATAAACTGTATGCATGGGAGCGAAAACTCTATGATGAAGTAAAGGCTAGTGAATCCATCAGGAAGGTCTATGATCGGAAATGTCACCAGCTCAGGCATCAATTTGTAAAAAACCAACAGCACATTCCTCACAAAACCGTTGTGGTTTCTCTTTCGTACATCATGGTACAACTTGCAAAACGAGAAATAAAATAACACAACCATATACCTATTTGCAAAAAAAAGGAAAGATAATATAAAACATGTGTTAACAGATACCAAAAAGCTACCAACTGCGCAAGTTGTTGCTCACAACTTTTGGTACCTATAGAAAACCGATAAAAGGACAACAACAACTCCCAATATCACTACAGCCAGTACTACAAAACTTGCAACAGCAGAAAAAGCAGAGACAACCATTACAATACCAACCCACTCACAATTCAAAAAGAAAAAAGTTGTTGAAATATCCAAAAGGGACCTGCAAAACGACAAAGAGGGAAGCAAATATCAACTTGAGATATTATCCATTAAACCCTATAAAACTCGATTCTGAAAAGAGGATTGAGGGAGGCCTCCAACTGAAAACCTAGCCACCTCCAACAGACTCAAAACCCTAGCCGCCACCTTCTTGGATCCACCCTCTCTGTTCTTCATCCTCAACTCACTCACCGCAGAAAAAAATATCTCTTCATAAACTCTTTACTCTTCATTCTTCATGGTAAAAAAAAAGGGGAGAACTTGTTTCACATACTCCCAACTCATCTTCATACCCAGAATCGATACCCATACCATCTCCCACCTTCATCTTCTTCAACCTTCATATCCTCAAATCCTAACCCTTCTTTAAAGTTCACCCCTTTCTTCAACCCAGAAAAAGAACTCAACGTTAATCGCAAATCTAACCCTCCATTTTCGAAATCCTTAATCAATCAATCCAAAAATACCCAACGATACAAACCCTCAAACAAAATCGAGAAGCCAATCAGCAAAAACCCTCGATAACCTGGCCACTTTCAGTTATCCTCTGTTCTTCATCTCTAATCAAAACCCTAATCCCTCTTCTCCTTCAATCTCACCTCCTTCTTCATTTTTTCCAATCGCAAAAACCCCTTTATCAGAACCCATATTAGAATCAAGACGGAAAGGGGAAAAGAGGAACTTTCAAAACCAATAGAACCCTCGAGCGTTCGAACCTAGATTTCGAACGGAGACGATTGAGACGAAGGTGAAGGATATGTCTCTTATGGTTTCATTTTCTTCAATTTGTTTTGTGTGAAATCAAAGCTTTGCTTTTGCTTCTCATGTTTATTCTTTGTTTGGACCTGTCTTCTTTTTCATACTGATGCTGGTATTCTAAAAACGCAAGTTGCGTGGTTCTGTTGTGAAAAAGAGAAGAGGATTAATTTTGGTTTGGTTTCCGTGTCCTTGCTTTTCAACGTTCTTTTGTTTTTCTTTATTGATTAATCGTGTTTGGTGGGCCGGTGAAGTTTTGTAAGCCCGTGATGAGTTCTCATTCGCACCCTTCAATTAATTATTGCGCTCCATTTGTTAATCATTTTTGAAGAAGGGGATGGGCTTGGTCCCGAAGGATTCCCTCCTGTGTACTCCCATGTTCATTTCTTTTTTTTTGCAAAAAAATTGGTTTCATAAATTAGTTATTTAAAGTTTTTATTTGACGCCGAAGTTTTTTAAAATCTTGTTTTCATTTATTTATTAATTTTTATGGTCGATGACGATACCCCGAGTTATAATTTGTCAAATTATTGACAAATAATAACAAACCCGAGACCATTTTTTTTCAAACTTTCATTTTCGTTTTTTATCCACTTTTTTTTCTTATTCTTTAGTCAATGATGATTTTATTAATTATTATCGGTCAAGTTATTGATAGATGATAATTTAGTCGAGACTATTTCATTTTCGCTTCAAATCATTTTTAAAACATTTTCTCGATCAAACTCCAAAAGAAGGAGATTCTTGGAATCTAGCATTCCTTGGATCTTCGAGTTATTAATTCTCGAGGCACGCTCTTGAGTTGTTATTCACTCAATCTTTTGATTTTCTCAAACGCTTTCTCAATATCTTTTTTCGATTAAAACTCCGAAAGAAGGAGATTCTTGGAATCTAGCATTCCTTGAATTTTCGAGTGAATAGTTCTCGAGGCACGCCCTTTGAGTTGTTATTCACTCAACCTTTCGACTTTTTCAAATATTAATCATTCTCAAACATTCTCCTAAGTCAAATGCTCGTACGCATTCGCAACCCACATTTCGTACATTTCATTCACAACTCCTCATGGTTTCGATATTAGGGGCACCCTCAGGGACTAATATCGTTTCTCACATCCAAACCCTTGACACGTCGTCAAGTTGGTTTCATTTTCAAACAAATCCTCGACACGTCGTCGAACTACTTCAAAACAACTTCTTTGTTGGCCTTGCATGCCATTCTTCGATTCGATCCTTTCACAAAGATTTTTAAAACTTACGAAAGAGGGATATTCTCAGAGTCAAGCATTCTTGAATATAAGATACGTAGGCACAAGATTGTGATGATCTTGGCGAGCACAATCCCCTTCATCTTCCACTTCCCATATCCTTTCCCGTAGTCGAACTATGACGCTCTGATTTCTCATTCTCGTCCGAATGAGCAAACGTAGGCACAAGGGCCCCAATCCTTGGCGAGCACCCTATCCTCTAACTACCCACCTCTCCTTTGCGTCTTTAACCTTTTACCCTACCAATTCGCCTTAGCAACGAGAAGAAAAAACAAGTAAACCTAAACAACACTCCCCACAATTACCTTAAGAGGTTCCCGTCGAGTACGACGGACGTGAGGGGTGCTAATACGTTCCCCTCACGTAACCGACTCCCGAACCCGGAACATGGTTGCAACAACCCTGTTCCTATCCTTTCGTTTCAAGAGGTTTTCTCGATATTTTCCTCTCTCGTTCATTCGGGAAAAATAAAGTTCGGTGGCGACTCTGTCGAACCGCATTTCCGCGCCTTTCGCGCGGGGGTCGTTTTCTCCGAAATGTCTCCGTAATTTTTTCGAGGTGCGACACCCCCAACATGAATGTTGTAGAGCATGATCTTAGCTTTAATCTGAGTGCTAGAAGTCCTTGATAGGATTTGTAGAACTCAAGTTATGACTTTGACAAGTTATAGGTCATCTGAGGCATGTGAATTTGGAGCTTGAAAGTTGTCCAACTTGCATGAAACTTTTGCCCTAGAAGGATGATTCCTATGAACTTTTGGTCAACATGAATGTTGTTCCTTATACTCTTAGCTTTCTAGAGAGTACTAGAAGTCCTTGATAGGATTTGTAGAACTCAAGTTATGGCTTTGACAAGTCAAGGGTATTTTGGTCATTTGGAGATTATAGGTCATTTCAACCATAAGGCCATAACTCCTATTTTCAAGCTTCAAATGGAAAAATGATTCAATTAATCCCATTCTTTTTGCATTGGATTCATGATAGGATCTAGTATTTTTTAGATAAAAAATATTATTATTTCATGCATTTTCTGATTTTATGGGAATTTTTACATTTTAATTGATATTAAAATAGTCATGTTTGATGCTTGATATTGGTAAATTTGGTTTGATCATATGATGATGATTTTGGCCTTGATTTTTTGTGAGTAGTTAGAATAGATATGCATGATCCCCATAGATTTTTCTCACATTTGTGTGATGAATATAAGTGGTAGTTTAGGTTGAAACCTTTAAGAGCTGCATTTTTAGGGTTTATGGTTGATACCTTGTGGTTTGGATTTTATTTTTAGGACTTGGTGGATGATTCAACCTCTGACTTTTGTAGGGTAGATTCATGATTGAATTAGGGTCCCTTAGGAATTTTTGTAGGAATTTTCAATGAAGTTTTCTATTTTTGTTTGATTTTAGTTTAGATGCTAGTTTTAGATGATTCTGAGGCACTAATTTAACTAGATTAACATCTTTAGTTCCCTTAGATTAGGGTGTTGCTTTGCTTGTTCTTGGATGATGATGAAAGCAAGTTGAATATGCATTGGATTGCTTGAAGAGGCTTGGATGTGAGGATCTTCCCTCCTTTTGGTGTAGTTTTGTTTAGGTGTTAAGATTAGGGTTTTGTAGGCAGAGCTTCTAGATAGATTCTCTTCCTTCATAAACATGGATGATGTTGATCACTTCCATTCATACCTATG